ATTTGAATGTTTTATCTTGTCTAATTGCTGAAAAGTATACCTTTTGCGCATGGATTTGAGATACTGTTTCCTCTGCATCTTTTTTCGCAGTTTCACCACTGGTAAACAGTTGTTGCTGAGCAATATCATTTTCCCCTTTGCAAGTATTCTGTTTTTTACCCTTGCATTGTACAAGCATTAACAATAGAATCAAGTTAGTCAATAAGATACCTTATTCAGATTAGTAGTAATCCAGCTATAAAACTCAAATCTATGTATCAAATCTAAATATTTGTGGAGTCTAGGTTAGCGTACCCAATCATACGAAGTTAATTTGGATTCTTGATCGTGAGCCGCTTGTTTATACCTTTTATGCAGTTGTTTAAGCAATTGGTCTTGATTCTCTTCATTATCTTCGTCATCTCCACCATCATTATGCTCGATATCACTCTCTTTGTCTTCATTGTCGTCTTCATTTTCAGCAATGGTTATCTGTTTTTGCAATGGAGTCAGTAGCTACGATTGTGAATTAGTAGTGCCATAGTATATAAATATAATATATATATATATATTGGATGATGAGTACCTTAATGTGCTCATTTTTCAAATGAGTTAGCTTCACGTTCATCTCTGGAAGGCTCCATCTCACAGCTGCCGGAGTCATGTCTTCTCTTCCAACAATAGGACTTATCAAATTACCTCTTTGACACAACCAATACTACAAACATGGTTTTCAATGTGACATGTTAATACATAAGAAGAGAAAGCGATCATAGTATTAACAACCAATGAGATGTAGTTTCTTACCAGTATTAGAACAAGGCATCCACTGACACTTGGCTGTTTTTTCTTGTCTTTCTTGTTCTTGATTGCTTGGTCCAAACCAAAGTGCATGTAGTCCAGCACTCCCTTTGCCCAATTATATTGCTTCATATCTTTCACGGTATTTATTGTTGTCACATATGTCCAAGCTAGTGTACATCCTGAGTTGCAGAATAAGTTGCTGATGAATAACTCTAGAATTATGAACCTTGTGACATCCATTGGCCCTTGAGGTGTCTCATCCTCCAGTGCTTTGTCCAGAAACCTATCAATTTCAGTCTTGGTGATCTTTTCGACTTCCATGAAGTATTTGTTCACAAAATCCAGTTTCGGTCTAGTTGATGTTGTTGTGTTTGGAAGCTGCTTGCCATGGTTCGGCAACCCAAAGATGTCAGCCACATCTTGGCTTGTAATTGCGTACTCATTGCCAGCTCCAAAGTTGAATTTTTTGGTCTCAGGGTTGTAGGTATTGATTAGTCTAAGAATGTCATAGTTAGACTTTTTGCAGTTTGTGTTTGTTAGGTAGCCCTCTCTGTAAGCACTGATTAGGTTCCAAAATGGTGTCTTGGCTAGGTGTCTGAGGGCCTGTTTGTTTGCATTAAGTCTGTCTTTTATGTTGCTCAATGTGGTCTGAAAAGTGAGCATATTGCTTTTGATTTGAACATAGTTTGGATCGTCTAGTCTTTTTGATCTTGGCTTTGGTGTTTTGGATTTTGCTTTTGTGTTGGTTGTTTTCTTAGGTTTTATGCTGGCTTTGTTTGTGGTTTTGGTTGGTGATGATGCGGCTGTTTTTGTTTCCTTGGGCCTTTTTGCGGTTGTCAAAGGTTCTTTGTCTGACATATCTGTAATTCAATGACACACATTATTTTAAATAAACAAAGTTCTACTGCTATTGCAGTGCAACAGAAGTGCAATCTCATCCCAAAGCCTAATAAGCAAAATAGGCACATCTCATGTCATCATCTAATCTAACAGAGCAGTCTCGCAGTCTCAAACTCTCAGTCTGAGAGTGGCTTCGAGGCCTTGGAGGGAAGAAACTAACTAACTAACCAGAGAGAAGAGAGCTTCCTCCTCACTCTGGTTTTAGGCCTTTGAGCTTCAGATAATATAGTCATACTGATAAATAAATAAAAATATAAAAATATAGAAAGTGGACATACCTTGAATCCTGAGGCTGTGGTGAATCTTTCTTGCAGATTCGGGTTTCTTTTACAAAACCCAAGTGTTATTGCATGTTAATAACTTGAATGGAAAAGAAACTTCAGAAAATAAGTAAATGGGTTTGAGTTCTGCTTTTACCTTTGTTTTCGAACAAGATTGTAATCTTTTTTCAAGAAATGTTGTTTGTTTTTGTGATGCTTTTGCAGTTTCCTTTCGATTTTTTGGTGTTTATGTATGTAGGTTTTCGGGTGGTTATGGAGGATATCGATGGTTAAAGAGGTGAGAGACAGAGTCTGGCAGGGTGCCTTGGGTAGCGTGTTTTTATTTATTTTGGGTTTGTATTTTTTGTAAAAGTGGGCTGGGCTTTTTAGAGTCTTTGTTTGGATTTTTCTTCGTGAAAATTGGGTTTGGCTCTATGAATTCAGTGGCAGTGTTGTAATGTATAGGTGTTTTGAGTGTTCTTTTGTTTTTGAGAATGGGAATCGATGACTGCATCCTTGATGCACTTGCTAATACATCTGAGAATTCTTAATTGGATAGTTATAAATCGCCCCAGAACAAAGGAATATCCCAAGTTTCGATATAGGATTTAGGGGCCTGAATCTCAAGCTCCCTTTATAATACTTAGGTTATTATTAGTGCGTTTTTGGACCTCGTAGACTACGGCTTATTTAATGAATAAGCCCAACATATTTTTCTAATCCATGGGCTAATATGTGTTTCACATCAACAATGATTCAGAGATGTAAGGCTCAAGCCCTCAATTAATTAGTTTCCTCTTCCAAATGGTTTACAGGTTTCCTTTCTAATAGCTCCAACCTTGAGGTGGTTTCATGATTGATTCTAACCTGGAAAACTTCTGAAAACTCTTTGATCAAAGATTTACAAGTAATATCAAGTAGCTGGCCATCATCGGGATCAGGTAGACGTGCTCTTTCGCAGTCGGCGGATGACTGAAATTCCTTCAGCAAGCCTTTAACACTTCCAACCTGATAGTCTCGTAAACCACAGGGCACTATTGAACGAAAAGGGGTTAAGTCAGTGGTGACATTCAACGCTAAGCCATGATACGTTATCCACTGTGATACTCGTATTCCAATGGCTGCCAGTTTCTGGTTTCCTGAAGAAAAGTTTGATACAAACATCAAAGGAAAATCCCAGTTTTATTTCCTCTACCAATATTCTTTTATCTTTATAAGACAACAGAATTAGGGAAATAAGAAATCACTGCTTTTAATGGATGTACGAGAGCAACCAAATGGCATGGCTAAGAAAATATGCTAAGCTATTATTTTCAAAGGCGAAATATCATGTCTTTCATATAGGAAGCATACCATGCCAAACACCAGTGAGGCCCTCAAACCGTGATGCCTTGATACAAAATGTCTCTGAAAGAGCACGGATGATCACCTCCTCAAGTGACCTGAGGTACCAATGAAGATCCATCTTGTGATTTCGGAGATTCATAATGGGGTACATAACTATCTACAGTGCAACACACACACAAGTTAGAGAAATTGAGCCTCCAAACAATTAAGTAATATGTTCAAATTGTGATTCATTCTTCACCACCAAGGACAAACATAAAAAGTTCAAATGATGAATTCATCCATTGACATAGTACCTGACCAGGACCATGATATGTAACCTCACCACCACGTTCGGTTCGATAAATGTCGAAAGGTGAGTCCTTGACGTCAAAATTAAGGAACTGCTCTGAACTAGCAGTCCCCAAGGTATACACAGGACGATGCTGAAGAACAAACAGCGAGTCCGAGCAATCCTCATTCCTCTGAATCAAAGTTTTTTTCTCGTTAACTATGCTCTTCTGCCAAGCCCACGCCTGGCCATATGGAACCTGCTGCTCGTACAGATTGAAGCACTCACACCTGCACAATTCTAAGTTGATCCTGTAAGTTGCACGGGACAATATGTGCATGTAAAAATACTTGACTAGGAAACTTACTCGTTTCTTGGCTCGAAGGTTAAAGAGGTCGACTGCGGAATTTTAACATTTGAGACTCTATTTGATCTTGATAAGATCCGCCGGGAGAGAGATCGAGGAGGTTTATGTTGATGCTTGCAGATTGGGTATGTTGGGATTGAGGCGACACAATGAGTTGCCGTGAGAGTCATATTTTATGATCCTTGTAATTTGGTGATAGCCCTTACTTCATGTTTGGTGGGCTGGCCTAGACTGGCATGGATTTGGCTTCGAGTATTGGACTGGGCTGGCTTGGACTGGCCTGGGTTTGAGTATTGTCAGTTGTTTGGTACAGCATTGAGCAGGCCTGGACTTAAATCTTTTACCTTTTTATTAATGTTTAGTATATTTTATCACCAGCTTCAATGACTCAATGAGAAGATCAGCTCTTGATTTGCTTGCCTTCGAAATGACAGGTCTCACACCAGGAAGCTTAGGCTGCCATAAAGAAAGATATGTACATCAATGGAAAGTAACAAAAAAAAAAGCCAGAGATTATTCATTCATATGTTGCTGTATTGCATCCAAGAACACAAATTTTTCAAAAGTAATAAAAATAAAGAAACATGAATGTTTAAAATGGTGATCATGATTCATGACAACAAATTAACTTCAAGAGTGAAAGGTTCAATACCATTAACAAATTGGGTAAAATTTTATCAGGTAACTCAGATGAAGCATGGACATTCACATTATTAAGGCTAGATAATAGAAATTAGCAATTATCTGACTGAACTCAATGGAGCTACTAGCACATTCCCAACAATCAGATGCATTCCTTCCCAAAATTAAATCTAGACAGCACTGGTTTACTACAAGCCATTAAAAACAGTTTAATTGGTACACAGAAGGTGATATACAAACACACTTGATGCACATTATATGAGCAAAAGACCCAATTGCACAAGACTTGGAAAGAGCCTCAAATGCACAAGACCAAGACTCAGCCTCAGCCTATACAATCATACTCTCCCAGAAGACACAATTGCCCAAAACCATGAAATTTCCCCAAAACCGTTCAACCTTCCAATGCATACCCAATAGAGAAAAAACTACCCAAAACAGAAACTACAACGAAACCCAATATTTTTGCCAATTATATTGACAAATTCCAAGTCAAAAAGGAAGAAAATTTCAGATCAGAGGAGGAAAAAGAACAGAGAACTGAAGAAGGCGATAATAAGAAAACACAGTTGTCTTGTGCTGTTTTTGAATTGTGAGAACTTAGTAGAATCAAACATGGAATTCTCAAAACTTAAATCAAACAGGCCCACAACAACCAACGAGTTAGATTCAGAAAAAAGTTTTAGAAAGTAAACTGAGAAGCAGCCAAATCAACGGGAGTTCAAATGTTAGAATTAAACATGGAAATCGAGAAAAATCAAATTCGAATGGATAAGAAAATGGAGAAAAATAAGCTACGTTGCAACAATGGCTAAAATCACAGCAGACACAGAGGGGCGTTGAAACCATGGCGGAGAAAGCAAATAAGATAAAGAGATTCAGACAAGAGCAGCTCGCTCAAACTAGAGACGAAAGCAAAGGAGGCTGAGGGAGAGAAAAGCCCACGTCGATGCCAGCCCACCAAACAGGCCTTAAGGGATTGAGAATGGGAGTAGGAAAGGCAATGAAATGGAATTAAACAAAGAATAGAATCTAGTACATATAGTTTGGTTGGGAATTAGGATGGAATGGAATTAGTTCCATTGTTTGCTTTTCCATTTGTAATGGGATGTAATAAACTGCAAAATAAAAGTAAATAGGAAGAAGTACAAAACAAAAGCATACAATTATAAAAAGAATTGAAAGAGTTTAAAAACAAGGAAAAATCAATAAGTTATAAGCAAGTAATGGTGGATGTGGATCATAGTTTAAAAATAAAAAAAGTAAATCCTATCAAATATGCTTGTGTTAAGATTTAAGAGGAACGGATCCTTGGTCCACCACCGGCAGCATAGATATTGTCCCCAACTTAACCACCTGTTTAGCAGGCGTGGGGTTTTATACAAAAGGCCTCGATGTTATTATGAACCATTTATTATATGAGACTTTCTATTTTGTTAAGTTTCCGATGTGGGACTTGTGTATTCTTCAACAGCTTGTACAATTTATTACTGACTCCAACTTCCAACAAAGATGAAGAAACAATGTATGGGAAATTAAATAATGGCATAATATTCAACAAATTAAACGAGATCAAATTTATAGCATAAACCACCAAACAGTATTTGAGCTTCCACTGCCTAGTCTTTTTTAGAATATTTAAGTTTCCACAACTGTTAAATTTTTGTTTTCTTCTAGAAACAGTTCCTGGGAAATATCTTCTGTTATGTACATTGTACTTTAAATAAATTGTCATCTAGAACTAATTTGCAAGAAAAACAAGAATCTAGTGAGGTTGAACCAACTACAATATAACCAAGAAACATAATACATACCCAATTGTAGGGACGGAGCCAGGATTTGAAAATACAATGGGCTGAATCTCTAAGCTTTTCTTTTTACCCTGAATGAAAAGATTTGCATTTGTTTTTGTGGGCAGGGGATTGATATTTTCCAGATTTACAGAACATATTGAAAGCATACAAATGAACCAAATTCAGAGGATTCTAAGCAAATGGAAGCACTTAAAACTTGCAAGACACAAAATGAAATGAAAAAACAAAAAGAGAGAGAAGTAAAGCAAATCTTAGTGTCTCTGATTGAGCTACTCAGTAATAAACATACCAAAGGAACATCATCCCAATTTAAATTCAAATTCAAGACTCTCTTGTGCATTTCTAGATCGTTTTATCCTTTTAATTGTTGAAAATTTGCCAATTTGTTGTCTGTTTCTATGTACTTCTTGCTTTCAAATTAGGTTGCCATAGTACATGTAACAGTGAATCACAATCTTCTAATAGTTGTTTCTACCCAATTAGTGTTTTTATTCAGTTATTTTTAGGTGAGATACAGCTGCTTTAGAACATCAATTTTTTCTCACTAACCACCAATTCGTGTTTGTAAAGCAGCTCTAATTATCCCATAAGCTAAAATCTTAATTGTATGTCCATGAGCATAAATTCCATAAGAAAACAAACAAACCCCTTCATAATCCACATCCAAATCAGATGTGAATTTGAGAAAATAGAGGAACCAAATCTAATCATTCCCAAAACCAATAAACCGCAATGAAAAACTTGAGGAGCTGATGGACAAAATAATAATAATAATACTAATCAAACAACACCTTAAATTATACCCCAAAATAAAACCGGAGAAATAAAATGTTGATTTAAAAAATCTGCAACTAAAAGAAGATTAGACGATTACCTGGGGTCAGTGAAGCTCTGAGGCTTATTAGAAAATGAGAAGAACTAGGAGAGTGAACAGCACACGGAACAGAGAAGGTTGGCAGAGCTGAAAGGCTATAGGCCACAGCCCATAGCCCACCCAGTTCTGAAAACCTGGGTAGTGGCTGGAGTGAGCTGAGAGGATTTAGGCTTAGAGTACATAAACACCTAGATTTTGTTTCTAAAGAAGTTAGCCTATAGGCTATAGCCCACCCAGTCTTGTGATTTCCGTCCCAGACAGACAAGTCAGTGAACACTCAACAGGGAGATGAACCAAGAAAAACAAACCCTCCTATGTTTGCACATCAAAAGTAAATGCAAAATAGAAACTTAAACAAGCACACAAGCGAGCAATGGAGACACGAGAGAGCCTGAGACTGGTTTCTAAACCAACAAATATTAAGACGATAAATTTGGGTGCTTGAAAATTGATGGGGAGACTCAGAAAATGGAAGAATCAAATCAAATCAATAGACCCAGTACATAAAATGGAACCAAATCATTGCAATGTAAGAGCATCTATTCAATACCAAAACAAAGACCATATGCTGGAATAAACACAGAAACAAAATACATTTATTCACCTTTTCCGTTTGGAGTGATCGATGGTGGAGGATGTTGGGAATCGGGGAATCGGAGAATGGGAATGATGAGAGAGAGTTGGTCTCGATTTGTGCTCGCTCTGTGATTCTGCGAATGGGTTGGCGAAGAGAGCTGGAGGTCGTGGACTGTGGAGGCGTCGGCCGAGAGAAAGAGAGACCAAGCGAGCGACTGAGAGACGGGGGGAAATACGTATTTATCCTTGCTGGGGCAATTACTGTTTGTGAAAATTCCAAACACACTAACACGCACGTCGCTTTCAAAGAAAGTGATTTTCCCATAAATAATCAATGCCAAAATGGCACGAAAAGCCGGTCAGCCGTGGCTGCACGGCACCACATATTGAAACCAGTTCGTCAAAACACTCTCTTCTTCTGCTATTGTGTCTCTCTAAACTGGGCTCCACAAAGATGAATTGCAGCTCTGAGAATTTTAATATGGGACTACAAGCTTTGCTTTCTTCAAGTCTCCACCTTTACCTTCGCCATACGTTCTTTGATTCTTTTCCTTCAAGTCTCCACCTTTACTTTGCGGTATTTGACAGCTCATCGTTGTATTAATATTAATTACAAGTAGGTAGCTGGTGCGGGTTTGTGTTCCTAAGGCCTGGAACTTGTAGCTGCAGTCTCCACAAGTCAAGCTAATATTTCCGGCTTTTACACTTCCAACATTAATTGTTAACAGAGGATCCGTCTCAGAAAGTTCCTTTCTTTTTCTATATAAATTCCCTTCTCCACAAGGCTAACGTTCAGTAACCAAACAGAGGTATTTATGTCTCAAAGAAAAGCACTTGCTTATTAGCTATGGAAATTGAGAGAGCAACAACTGGATTACTGGTTTGCAAATACTCGTCGTGGAGATCAGTCTTCTTCTGAGCCATCTTTAGCACCTAGTAGTAATCTTTACAAACCCTCCTTGAGTTTCAGGGATGAGGGCTACTTCAGAATCAGCAGAGTGGATATTTTTAGCCACTAGCCTTGGCCTAGAGATCTTGTCAGCTGCTTGTGATCAGGCTTCCTCCCCAAGAACACCCCACTATGCCCTATCTGGGATGCTGTTATCTATTGCAGCTCTGCTCATTTCCATCTGGGAGCTAATTTACAGAGGTAAAAAGGAAAGAGTTGTGTTGAGGAGATGGGGAATGCTCTGGTGGTTTTATCATACACCACCTCCTCCACATACGCCTTTTGGTACTCTTCCTGACATTTATGGACTAGTTGCTGGCATCTCACAGTGCATTTGCTCTATAGTTCAGTATGTTTACTGCCTTCGACATGCTAATAGTCCTTTCAAAGCATCCCTTTTGCCTGCCATATTTCTTATGTGTTTAGGTGGTTCAAAACTATGTAATAACCGACTGAACGCGAATACCACTGATAACAAGAACTCGTGGGAAAATTCTTCAAGGTAAGCACGAATTAAACTGCTTATCGGCTGCTTAATTAATTTGCATAATCTTTTTGCAGCTTTTTAGTCTTATTTATTTAGTTTTGAAAGGAGACGAGATGGAAATTTTAAGAAATAATTCAGGGGAATTTTAATGGATATCATATCACATGAGAATTCTACTTTATTTCAATCAGCACAAAATGTAAAGACTAAAGTGTGAGGGGATGGAGAGAGAGAGAGTGGCTAATTAAGCTAGCTCTCTATCTCTAAAAAACAAGAGAGTCATAAAAGATTGCTTTCTTTTCTCTATTTGCTTTTTCATCTATATGCATGGCTTCCATTCCACTAATAGAAAATATTCTCTCAATCTGTTGGTTTGTAGCACGGAAGAAACTTCGTGGCATGCAATCAAGGTAGATCTACCATTTCTTTATGATCAGGAGGTAGAGGTACCAATTTAATTATGATTTAAAGTAAATTATTTCCAAAACATACATATAAATATATATGCACATATATAACCTTGAAAGATTAATTTAAAAGTTGTCATTTGTATATATATCATGGGAATAACTGAACAAAATAAAGGAAATTATATTTCCATCTTTCTCTGGATAGTAAAGTGAAATTTATCCTTTTATTTATTTATCGTATTTGTATGTATATCATATATATATATATATATATATCTCTCTCTCTCTCTCTCTCATAAAGATGATCTATGAATGAAGACCTAAAAAATAAATGGTTTGGATCATTAGGAAAAAAATTATAGGGTGCCCTAATGGACGTCCCTCAAATAAAATTATTTGAGGGATCCCTCAATAGAAGGGGATAGTAAAGTGAAATTTATCCTTTTATTTATTTATCGTATTTGTATGTATATCATATATATATATATATATATATCTCTCTCTCTCTCTCTCTTTTGTTTCGGGAGGACATGATGTATCCAAAAGGCTTAAGTTATGAAGTCCCATATGAAGATGATGAAGTCCCATATGTATCACAGAATGTCAATTTGGAGCTCACTTTGGGATGGCCACATTGGGATTGAATACAATAAAGAAAAATTAGGTATTAGACATAATGACTAATTAGGATTTGAGACATAATATTTTTTGTTTGGGTTTTAATATCTATGAATGAAATTTTGTTTTGAATTAGGCTAAAGAGGAGGCCCAGATATGAAATTTTTATATATATATATATATATAAAACCATTGACTGTTAATATATATATTGCGTAACTGACAAAATACCACAAAAATAAGATTGGTGATGTGGTTTGTGAACAAGGCTTTCCTCCTTTGAGGGTCAAGGTTTAAGTCTTTTCATGCACACTAAATTTCTTACCTTTTTAGGTTGAAGGCAACATAGAGCAGCATCAGCTGCAAGAGCAGCGGAGGCAACCGCAGGAGCAGCAGCAGCTGCTGGAGATGTGGCTGCAGGAGCAGCATGAGCAGCATGAGCAGTATGAGCAGCAAAAGCAGCGGCGGCGGCGAGAGCTGCAGCAACTACAGGAGCAGCAGGAGCGGCTGCAGGAGCTGCAACCGCGGGTGGGGGCGGGGCGGGGGAGCGGGGCTGCAACATCGGCGAGTAGCAGAGCTGGAGCAGGAGCAGGAGCAGCAGAAGTTCCTGCGACGTCGGCAAGTAGTGAAGGCGGATTGAAGGAGGTGGACATGCCTCCAAGAAAAGCGAACTCAAACTTGTGTATAATTTTGTCTCTTACTAACTCACTATATTTCTAAAAATATAATGCTATGAATGCTATAAAAACTACTATTGGATGACAATTGGATGAATGAAATGTTATAGGATCTTCTCTATTTATAGGCAACAAGACCTCTGTTTAGAAAAGATGTGATTGAAAAATATCAACAAATGTGTCTTTTCATGTTGCAACTATAAGCTAAGAAGTGCAATGTTTCATTTATTATGAAACAATGCAACTTAAGCCAAGAAGTGTAATGTTTCAATTTCTATGAAACAATGCAACTTTTCATATATGAAACAATGCAACTTAAGCCAAGATGCAATATTTTAATTTCTATGAAATGATGCAACTTTTCATATATGAAACAATGCAACTTATCACATAAATTATTATTATTTTACAAACAAAATAAATAATACTTTATTTTTCCTCGGTTAAGAACATGACTATTCCCAATGGATACATACCAATTCATAAAAGTCATGTACTTAAAATCACAAGTCCCACAATTTAATTTTCATTCAATTATTAAAAAATTAAATATAAATATTATAATTTTCTAACACTATTACATAAACTAACACCCGTAACACTCCCAATTTCATATTCCCCTTTTGATATTCATCTTGTCTAAACCATCAATCTCCAAGCCCAAATCAAGGTAGCCACCAAATAACTGACAACGAGTTGATCCTGTTGAAACCAGAGAAGATAGTCAAAATTTGGGAGCAGGAACAGTAGAGTCAGAGACAATGAGAGTCTTAGTAGGGGCAGAGGTGGAGCCATCCACATATTTGATTGAGTAGCCCATGACCAATGAGAAAGGGGCGAAGTTGAGCAGTCCAGAGAAGATATATAATTGGATTCAGTAAGCTTGATGAAATTAGCCAAGGTTGGGCCAGGGAGGGAGGAAGTCGATGTCGTGGAGGAGGAGGAAGCCGAAGCATTGATGGCCATGGCGAGAGAGGAAGGAACATGTCCGGAGAAGGAAAAGATTTTGTTAGAAAAGGAGAATGGCTAATACCATGTAAACTTTCTATTTTAGATTGATTTGATAAGTGTAATACATGAGAGATTTATACATAGTTGATAACCCTAGTAGAGATATATACAAGGAAACTGAATCAGCAATACAAGGAAGGTAAATCAATATTAACACATATACAAATATGGAATGAGAATTCTTATAAGGGAGGAAGGACTAATGACCATGAGTTAATTGCATGATAATATAGTGGGATTCAAAGCCATATTGTCCTAGGAATATCAAGAATCCTTATAAAAAATTAGACAAATCGGAAACTGTTTCGACATCCAATTGTATCTTACAAAATCAATGAACACGGTGCTTCATGAAAGTACTAAAATTTCAATAACTCAATTGAGTAGTCAAATAATATCGGATTCAAGTGATTTTTTGTAGAGATGATCTTTGAATGAGTATCTACAAAATAGACGGTTTTGATTAGTGAAATACAATCCGGAGTAGGGCCTATAAGGGGCGTCCCTCAAATAAGCTTATTTGAGAAATCCCTTAATGGAAGCTCTCTCTCTCTCTCTCTCTCTCTCTCTCTCTCTCTCTATATATATATATATATATAT